AAAAAAAAAAAAAAAAAAAAAAAAAAAAAAAAAAAAAAAACAACAACAATAAAGTTAAATTTGTTATAATGGATGTGGATTTCTACTCTTGCTTAAGGTATTGTGTTTATGCAACTCACTTAAGGGCAGGGGTGGCATGGTGAGTTTGAGGCTAGACTGGTCTACAAAGCAAGCTCCAGGTCAGCTAGGACTACACAGAGAAACCCTGTCTCAAAAACAAAACAAAAAAAATGTAATGGATAATTAAGAAATACAGATTGTCATCTATAATAGACAAACTTATGTCCGACATGTTTTCAGGGTCATACAGAGATATGTTTCAGATAGACGGGTATTCCGCAGACACTTTGATGACCAATGTGGCATTTATTAAGTTTAAAAACTTAATGCTATTCCTGGCAGCATCAATTTACTTGGAAGAAAATGATGGGCATCTAGAAACTCCATATGGAATTTACTTTCTTTGGGACAAAAGTTCACATACTGTCCAAATTGGATCAGCAGGACACAAGAAAGGCAAGTGCTGAACTTTGCCAAGACAAGGCAGGAGACAGTTCTTCAAAATTTCCCGCTTCACAAGAAAGTCTGTCAGATATCCTAACTGGATGCCCCAACATTGCAGAGGAACCTGGAGTGACTGTCCAGGCAGCTTGGTAGCTCTGCCATTAGGTAATACTTCACCTTCCTGGGGTCTTTGATGGAATTGAAGACTAGATAGCTATAAGTATAGATTTCCTTAATTATTTATAAAAAGTTAAATCAGATATAATACTTTAGAGCCACAAAGATAAATAGATAATAGAATATTTTCTCTAATTTTGCCAAATACAAATACATTAGATATTATAAACAAAATTCCTACTCGACAAAATTTTGTTGTATATAATCTTACTGTGTTAAAGTTAAAATATTCCTGGGCTGGAGAGATGGCTCAGAGGATAAGAGCACTGCCTGCTCTTCAAGAGGTCCTGAGTTCAATTCCCATGGTGGCTCACAATCATCTGCAATGAGATCTGTGCCCTCTCTGACCTGCATGCATACATGTAGGCAGAACACTGTATACATAATAAATAAATAAATCTTTAAAAAAATTTAAAACATTCCTACTTATTTAAATAAAAAGGGGAAAACTAGGTGGAATATTCCTTTACACTGTGTGAACATATATCACTGTAATTGGTTTAATTAACAAGCTCACTGGCCAATAGCTGAACAGGATACAGTTAGGTGGGAAAGCCAGCCTGAGGATGATAGGATGCGGAAGGGAAGAGTCAGAGGATGTTAGTTGGATAACATCTAGACACCACAGTGGAGGATGCTCCTGTGGCTGGCCTTGTGAAGCTCTGTACCTCTCCAGCACCACTAGCATGGAAAGGCTGCTCTCAGTGCCAGCGTTGATGTTTCTCCCTTCCCAAACAGACACAGCTTTTTCTATAACTGTGCTGTCCCATAACAAGGAGACCATTTTTGTTTGTTGGCTTGTTAACTAACTCACATCCAGGACTCCTCACCCTAAACAAAAAAGAGGCTGAGGAAGATTAAAAGTAATTTTTTAAAGAACAAACAAACAAGCCGGGGCGGTATGGGGCACGCCTTTAATCCCAGCACTCCGGAGGCAGAGGCAGGAGGATCACTGTGAGTTGGAGTAGGGGTGTTGAAGTTAGGCCGAGACTCTGATACACGCTCCTCTTCCTCTGGGCCATCTTCTTCCATATTGGAGAATCCCATTTCATCTTGGAACTGTGGGCAGAAGAAAAGGAGGGTTTTCTTGAGAAAATGGTCCCTTTGTAAGCCACACTAGCGGTAATAAGTATCAGTAAAACTAGAGAATTCAAAAACTTTAGTAATGTTGGGTTTCAAAAGAGACCCTCTGCGGGAGTTGGCTCAGGAGTTAAGAACACTTGTTCTATCAAGCCAGGCACTGGTGGCACACGCCTTTAATCCCAGCACTAGGGAGGTAGAGGCAGGCAGATCTCTATGAGTTCGAGGCCAGACTGGTCTAGAGAGCCAAGTGCCAGGATAGGCTCCAAAGCTACATACACAGAGAAACCCAGACTCGACAAACAAAAACAAACAAACAAAAAACACTTGTTCTTACATAGGACCCAGATTCAATTCCCAGCACCAACATGACAGCACAAACCACCTGTAACTCCAGTCCAGGGAATCCAATGCCTTCTTCTGACCATCATAGGCATCAGGCATGAGGTGTACAGACATGAAGGGAAACACTGATTCACATAGGAATATTTCCCACTGTTCTCAAAATGAAGAGTTGTAAAGAGATGTACCCAGTCACAAAGGGTACATCTACAAACACTCCTGCACCTAAGCCTCATGAACACTATGGAAGAGAAGGCAGAGAGACTGTGAGAGCCAGAGGAACAGGGAGTGTGGCAACAAGGCAATGTCTCCTAGGAATGTCACAAGTTGCACCAATAAAGTCTCACCAAAATGAGTGACTAAACATGAGCTGCACAAGGACAACAGACATGCTAGCATGGACAGGGGAAAACCCATGAGATCTCAACCCTACACAAAGAACCACAGACAATTAAGGATTGCTGGGACTAGGAGAAATAGTCTTGCCCAGAGAAGAGAACACCAATTGGTTATTTAATACCACATGGCCAGCCTTAAAAACATACCCACAAGTAATATTACAAAGACAGAATAGGTTGTACTTATGTATTTAGGAACATACATAAATACATACATACATACATACCCACATAACAACAACTAATGAAAACAGAAGACATGAATTTGCAAGAGAACAAAGAGGGGTCTTTGGGAAGGTTTAAAGAGAGGAAAGAAAGAGTGATATGAAGTAAATTTTATTATAATCTCAAAAAATTAAAAAATTAAAATAAAATGGGTAAAGGACAGAGCTTACTAAGGAATTTCACAAAGCTACTCACTCAAAATCATTACTCACAGTTTCAAATAGCTCTTCCATCAGCCCATTCACTTCTTTTTCTGTGAAAAGGCAAAGAAGGATGTTAGTGGAACTAAATTACATTTTGCAGTAAGGAAGACATCTATGGAGATGATGTATGTTTCTCCCAAGGCATCTGAACAAATGCTCATATCCGTTCTTCAAGCAGTAACTCAAAGACAGTTATGAAGCACCAACCGTGCTTCAATTCCTGTTCAAGATGCTTGGGATACATAAAAGAACAAAAGACAAAAGTGTTGCTATCTGTCTCTGGGCTCCAAGACTCCACTGTGTACTGGCAGGGGGTAACAGAGGATAGGATGTCAAAAAGCCTTGAATAGTCATGAGCAAACACCAACTAGGAAGTCTTTGTTGGGGGCAACTTGTTTATTAGTGTATTAGCCTAGTTTATGTACAGCTTGATGACAGAGGAATAAGTGAATTGCACCTAATTTGATACATGCCTAGGATAGAGGCCAGGTAGGCCTTATCAGTTCAAGTTCTACAGGGTGGGAACAAGGCACAAGACACATCACTTACTTAATCAACTGACAGGCTGTCAGCAAAGTAACATGTTAGCACAAGCTTTCTAGCAGTGAGGAAGACCTGCTGGCTTTTAAAATGACATGATCTTTTGTCCCTATGAAGTAGATACAGGTTTTTCAACCCTAGTTGGGAATGAACACCTGGTTTCTACCATAAATCTGAGAGACATAGGGGTGAGGCACACTCCACCAACTTGTTTGATTCTACAATTCCACACAGGACTCTTAGTTTCATTAAGTTTAAATTCAGGCAGAATTGTTCAATGTTCAATGATTTTATAATACATGTAGAGTTATAATCCCAATTCTCAGGAAGTTAATATAACATAGCTGTTCAGAGGCCAAGACCATAATGGCTACATAAGTCAACAGCAAACTATGGCTACACTATGAGATTCTGTCTCAAAAGCAAAACAAGGGCTGGAGAGATGGCTCAGAGGTTAAGAGTGCCAACTGCTCTTCCAGAGGTCCTGAGTTCAATTCCCAGCAACCACATGGTGGCTCACAACCATCCATTATGAGATTATGCACACCTCTTCTGGTGTGCATATATACACAGAAGCAGAATGTTGTATGCATAATAAGTAAATCAACTTTTTTAAAAAAAAAAAAAAGCAAAACAAGATGGACAGAAATGGACTTGGAGAGCTGGCTGTTAAAACAAATGCATTAAAAGTTTCCCATTTTTCCTGAGAACCCGCCATACTGATTTCCAAAGTATCTGTACAAGTTTACACTCCCATCAGCAGTAGCGGAGTGTTCCCCTTTCTCCACATCCGCTCCAACATAAACTGTCATTGGTGTTTTTTATTTTAGCCATTCTGACAGGTGTAAGATGGTATCTCAGAGTTGTTTTGATTTGCATTTACCTGATGGCTAAGGATGCTGACCAATTTCTTAAGGGCCTTTCAGCCATTTGAGATTCTTCTTTTGTTGAATTCTCTATTTAATTCTATACCCCACTTTTTAATTGTATTATTTGGTGTTTTGGTGACTAGATTCTTGAATTCTTTCTATATTTTGGAAATCAGCCCTCTGTCAGATGTGGGGTTGGTGAAGATCTATTCCCATTCTGTAGGCTGCCATTTTGTCATGTTGACAGTGTCCTTTGCCTTACAGAAGCTTCTCAGTTTCAAGAGGTCCCATTTATTAATTGTCAATCTCAGTGTCTGTGCTAATGGTGTTATATTCAGGAATTCTGAACCAATTCATTCAAGGATACTTCCCATTTGCAATGGATTTATGTTGAGGTCTTTGATCCATTTGGGGTTAAATTTTGTGCATGGAGATAGATATGGATCTATCTGCAGTCTTCTTCATGTCAGCATGCAGTTATAGACTGGGGAAACAGCATGGAACCCAACCAGGCCACCTGAATGTGGGTGTCAGTTTGAAGGGCTGGGCAGACTATGGGCCTCTGGCAGTGGAACCAGTATTTATCCCTAATGCATTAATGGGCTTTGGGAGCCCATTCCCTATAGAGGGATACTCTCTCAGCCTTGATACCTAGGGAAGGGCCTAGGTCCTGGCCCAAATTATGTGACAAACTTTGGTGGTCCCCAATGGAAGGCCTGACCCTCCCTGGGGAGTAGAATGAGGTGGCATGGGGGATTGGTGGGGGCTATGGGAGAATAGGAAGGAGAGGGAACTGGAATTGCTTTGTAAAATAAGACTGTTGTTAATTTAAATAAAAATTTACTTTAAAAAAAAGTTTCCCGCTAGGCATTGGTGGCTCACACCTTTAATCCCAGCACTCGGGAGGCAGAGGCAGGTGGATCTCTGTGAGTTCGAGACCAGCCTGGTCTACAAGAGCTAGTTCCAGGACAGCCTCCAAAGCATCAGAGAAACCCTGTCTCGAAAAAACAATAACAAAAAAAGTTTCCCATTTTTAAGTGTGTAAAGATAACAGCCACCAAGCATAAATATATGAGTTTGATCCCTGGGACCAACATGGTAGAAAGAGAACTGACTTCCCCGAGCTGACCCCTGCCTCTCCAGCTGGTAGATCTCTTCTGTTTGCAACAGGCCTTTCCTATTCTGTCCCCTTTCACTGAAAATCTCTTAATCCTGCTTCGGTAGCTAAAGTGGCTCATCTTCCGAATCCTTTTCTTTTTTTATATATAGAGAGATTTTATTTATTTATTATGTATACAACATTCTGCTTCCATACACATCTGCACACCAGAAGAAGGCACCAGATTTCATTACAGATGGTTGTGAGCCACCATGTGGTTTCTGGGAATTGAACTCAGGACCTCAGGAAGAGTAGTCGGTGCTCTTAACCTCTGAGCCATCTCTCCAGCCCTTCCGAATCCTTTTCTAAGATTTCTAAAGAAGGACAACCTCTTTCAACAAACTGGCATTCCTCAAGCAACCTACACTGCACCTATCACTTTCTATCCCCTTATTACTCATTGCCTGCAAGGCCTCTGGCCATGTCCACATCCATTTTGGCATTCAATGTATAATACAGCCTTGCCAAATAATAAATGCCAAAATAGGACTATAAGCTGTACAAGTAAATAGCAACTTTCTACATATACACTAAATTTAAACAATTACAGAAATAAACTTAATTGTCTATATTTGAATTAGCCATCAGCTTGCAAAAGGTCTACAGAGTAAACAAAGACATATGGAAAAGACAATAGTGAACCAACTAACTTACTAGTGATTCTCACTGCCCGGTCAGTACGGAAATCCTCTGTGTCTGGTTCATCGAGATCTTCCAGGAAGTTATATTCTGGATCATCATCATCATCTGCTTCATCTAGGGGAAATATTTTAGACAGTTTCTCAAACTCTACCTTTTCCCCCCAAACAGGGTCTCTCCCTCTGTGTGTATGTATGTGCCTGCCTCTCTCTTCCCTTGGCTTTTTGGGACAGTCTCACTGTGTATCTCTAGTTGACCCAGGCCTCACTAAGTAGACCAGACTGCCCTCAAGCCCACAGATCTGCCTGCTTCTGCTTCCTAGGTTGGAAGATTATGGGCTTGCACCACTGTATCACCATGCCCAGACCTCAGCTTTGAACCTTTACCTGTAGAAACAAAAAATTAAAGAACCTTCCAATAAGCATACATATTCTTTTTTTATTTCATTGAACTAGTTTGTGTACAGGTGTGTGAAAGCCTTGGCATGTGTGGTTGTTTGAAAGAGAGTGGCACTCACGGACTCATGTTTTGAATGTTTGCTTCCCAGTTGATGCAACTGTTTTGGACAAAGATGAGGAGCTGTGGCCTCATTGGAGCCAGTGTGTCACTGGGGGTAAGCTTTAAGGTTTCAAAAGTTCACCCCAGGCCCAGTCTCTCTACCTCCAATTTTCAAATAAGATATAAGCTCTCAGCTACTAATTCCGTGCAATGACTGCCTGATTACTACCATTCTCTACTATGATGGTCATGGACTCACCATCTACAACTGTAAACAAGATCCCAACTAAATACTTTCTTTTGAAAGTTGCCTTTGTCATGATGTCTCTTCAGAGCAGTAGAACGCTGATTAAGAGAGCTTGCATGTGGGGCTCAGAGAACATCTTGTAGAAGGTAAATCTCTTCTACCACCATGTGAGTCCCAGGATGGAACTGGGGTTATTGTGCTTGGCAGCAATCACCTTTACACAGAGCCATCTCATCTCAATGACCTTGGCTTTTTTCTTTCTGTTCTTTGAGACAGAGTCATATTAAGTTACCCAAGCCAGCCTCAAAGTTACTGTGTAGCCCTGGCTAGCCTCAAGGTTAGGATCCTCCTACATAGCCTCCCAAGTGTTAAGATTGCAGGCATTTGTCAGGAATGCCACACCTTCCCTGACTTTTAGGTTAACATTTTTCCCCCAATACTTTGTATCACTTTCCATAGCTGACTTGTTGTCCTACTGGCTTTCTCCTCTGAGCCAGGCTCCTTCTCTCCTCCAAACAACCTTCAATGTTGAATCTAAGAGAATCAGAGCTCACACAAAAGTGATGCCAGAACTTGGGATCACACGCCTTTAACCCAGGCACTAGGGAGGTGGAGACAGGAGTGATATGGCTGGGCAGAGAGAGGAGACAGGAGTTCAGAGCAGATGGATTCAGTCTAAGGAGGCAGTCTGAACACAAGATCTCCCCCTTAGCTGAGTATTGGGAGCGGTAAGAACTCCAGTGGCTGACCTCTCTGCTTCTGATTCTTCAGCTTTCACACCATGATAGCTGACTGCAAGTTTTTCTTATTAAAACCAATTAGAATATGTGCTACAAATATGTTATGTGTGGGGGTACCAACATAGCATGGCACATACACGTCAAGATCTGTGGACAATCTACAGAAGAGATGGTTCTCTCCTTCCACCATGTGTGTTCTGGAGATGGCACACAGGTAGCCAGGACTGCAACAAGCACCTTTACCCTGAGTCATCTCAATGGCCCCAAACAGACATTCTTATGTAAAGGCTATTTGTACAATGATATTATAGTGGAAAAAGGAAGAAGACAAATTTCCAACTTTAAGGGAAGGACGCTGTGTTAGGTACCCAAGGCAGGCTCCCAAATTGTGCTTCTGATGGCAATATTTTAGGGTGGATGGCCCCAGGTCCTACCTGTGTTTGGTGTTGCTAGGAAACAGAAACCTAAGCACTTCTCAGTAGCTCTTAATCAGCACTGAACACTCCGCCCGGCTGTGACTGCCAGCACGTCCTCTGTCTGACTGAGCCCGGGCTGTTCAAGGGGCTGAGCTGTGTCCCCTCCCACGTCTAAACACAAGAAGCTTTGACTCTGCCCTACTCTCCATTAACAGAAAATGGCTGTAGTCAGTGGTTTCTTGTGGAGCCGACTCAAACCTGTAACTGACATCTGGGGCTGAGGAAGCAGTTCAGTGCCACAGCATTTTCTTAACAAGTACAAAGTCCTGGGGTTTGATTCCAACTGCACACAAACTCGTAAGACATCAATATAGATATTTATGATACAAATAAAATTCCTGTTTTGGGGGGTCATGTTTTGGGGGGTTGTGGAATTTGGGTTTTTTGGTTTTTTTTTTTTTTTTAAGTTTTTCCACACAGGGTTTCTCAGTGTAGCCTTCGCTATCCTGTAATTTGCTCTGCAGACCAGCCTGGCCTCAAACTCAAAGAGACCTGTCTGTTTCTGCCCCCCAAGTGCAGGGACTAAAAGTGTGAAACACCACCGCCCAGCTCCAGGTGCCTACCTTATCACTCATATATAACTTATTCAATGCCTATACAAGGAAAGTACAAAAATAATGTAAAATAATGTACAATATGAGTAACAGGGTTGCAGTGAGGTATGCTCAAGGACTTGTCTATTTCTTTTGTTTAGCTCCTTCTATTCCTAGTCTTACTCATTTACTGATTCTACATTATCAAAACATTTATCTGATCAATACTCTTACCCCACTTATTGTAATATATCGTATGGATATGTGCATACTTCACCCACATTGCTATGTAAGATGCTACAACCCCAGGACAGTATGCTGAAAGAGACACAGAATCTATGTGCCACACACCAAGAAGATATGCACATAGATTAATCTAATCTGAGTGGTTCCCCTGGATTTTTCAAATAATTAGTTTACAGGGGAAAGTTCTTCTGATATTCTGAGAAAGCAAGAAGAAATTAAGGATTTCTAGTCATGCCAAAAATACAAGAATGAAAGTTAATGACAAAAGAAATAAAGTAGAGAAGAAATGGAGAGGACTAACACTAATAGAAAAGAGAGGCCTGACACTGCCTTGGCTCCACTGCATTTGCAGACTGAATTCCTACTGTCCCAGATCTGTGGCAGCTGACCTCAACAAGAGTTTCAATTCCTCCAGTATTCTTCCAGAAAACAGTGAAACTGTATATACAGTCTTATATTTACAGAAATGTGCTTGCTGTACAAGCATGGAGAAGAGAATATGGCATGGAGGTACAAATGTAATCCCAGGGCCACACAGCAGAGACCAGACCATACTACTCAGTGACTAATGCCCTCTACAAACCTGCGGACACACACAAATTGTGTACTTATGTGCCATGAAAGAATCCTTGCCATAAAAAATCTAAATATGAATTAAATGAATGCTAAAACGTTTGAGACAATGACAAATATTTGGTATTCTACAACAGTTCCACTCCTCTCGCATCAAGCCCAGGTCATAACCTCTATTCTTCTCTCGCCATTAGCTGATCATAAGAAATTCTCAAAACAAAAAAAAACACACACACAAAAAAAAGCCAGGCATTGGTGGCACACGCCTTTAATCCCAGCACTCGGGAGGCAGAAGCAGGCGAATCTCTGAGTTCGAGGCCAGCCTGGTCTACAGAACTAGTACCAGGATAGGCTCCCAAAGCTACACAGAGAAACCCTGTCTCGAAAAAACCAAAAAAAAAAAAAAGGAAAAGAAATTCTCCAATTTATCTTAGTCATAGGAACCTCCTTGAGGTCTTGGGTCATACACTCGGAAAGTTATGTTGTACAAAAAAGTCACCAACCTTAAAAGACAAACCTGGTTGGTTTTCCACACCACTCTTTCCCAATCATGCTAAACAACACTCTCCATAAAACCAAATGATATGGTGCCTGAGTGTTTCCATATGGCTGAACACTTAAGATCCCTGGAAGACAAATGCTCAAGGACACATTCCCCTTTATCTCCTATGCATCTCTTCATCTACACGTCTGTAATTCCTTCACACTAAACCATAGACAACATCCTCTGAGTTCTAGTTCAAATCAAACTAATTCTCAAATGCAAGCAAGGGTCAGATGTATAGGTGGGGCAGCCTGATGCTTGAGACTGGCACCTAATGCAGGAGAAGACATGGGAACTGACCCCTCAAAACCTATACGTCATTTCTAAGTAGACAAGCTCAGGAATTAAACGGGATCAAGGATCAAGGAAACCTAACTAGCTATCACTACTACAGAATGGTTTGCTTGCTCATAGAGAAATCCTCACTTCTTCTTGTTATTTTAAGTTTTTAACAATATTATTTAGTAGTATGTGTGTGATAAAAACACATATACAGACATTCACACACAGACACAGATACAGACACACACATACACACACACACACACACACACACACACACACACACACACTCACATAGGACAATTTAATGGATCCAGTTGTCTCCTCCCCCATGTGGGTTCTGGAGATTGCACTCAGTTTGGTGGGAGATTCCTTAACCTGCTGAATCTACCAGGTGATGTCATAGAAATCCTCTATGTTGATTCTGATGTGCAAAAAGGAAAATCAGAAACTTTCTTTTCTATCATGATTATTTTTTTTTGTTTTTATTCTTTGTTCCTTTGATTTTGGGGGCTAGAAATGAAACCCACCTGCTTCCTTAGTGCTAAGTACATTTGCTCCCAATGACCTCTATAAGTTCAGTCTCCACAATCTCTTCCTTTGGTTTGAGACAAGTGCCACTATGTTCCCCAAGATAGCCTCATGTCTTACAGCACTACCCTGTCTCAACTTCCCAAATAGCTAAAATGACAAGACTGACCTAACATGCTTAGTCAAGAACCCACTATTAAAGTTTCCAAATTGTACTAATATTTCCCACACAAAAGAGTAGAACTGAGCAACGGATAACTGCAAACAAAATCACTCACCCTCGTTCTCCACGTCATCATTTAGGAGGCCCCCTAGCCACAACTTCCAGTCCTCATTGTTAGCTGTAGTTGGGTTATACATGTCCACGGTGATATCTGGAGCCTGAAGCTCTAGTTGGCCCAGAGGAACATCTTTCAGGGGCATCTTAGACCGAGTTCTGAATGCAATCAGACTATCCTCCATGGGCTGGCCAAAGGAGAAAGAAAAAGCATCCAGTATGTGAAAATAATGCTTCCAAATTCTCCAAACTCCACCCTCTGCAACACACCCTACTTAAAAACCAATTCCTCTCCTCAAGACAGGATAGGTTTCCTGTCTTTCCAGCTGGGTATGGTGGCCCACGCCTTAATTAAGCATTTGGGAGGCAGATACAGGCAGATCTCTGTGAATTCACACCCAGGCTGGTCTACATACTGAATTCCAAGACATCCAGGCTTGTACAGCGAGACCCTGCCTCAATAAACAAAAACAAACAAACAAAGCTACGATGATGGAGATTTACTTTCTTCTGAGTCTAGTTTTAAATTCTTGTAGGTTTTGGTTGTCTGAATATTTTTCTTTAATAAATATTTAAGTTTCTCTACAGGGGAGAGTGTCAACACAGTTCCCCACTACCACAATTATGCACTCAAGTTTTCCAGCTTTGGGGAAATCTCAGGAGTCAGCACATCTGACATGCAATGGATAAGCCTTGCCCTGGGCTAAACACCTTTGTGATCATGGCTTATCCCCTGCCAGCTAAGTATGCTATTCTTTCCTAGCAACCACATGGTGGCTCACAACCATCTACAGTGGCATCTGATGCCCTCTTCTGGCATAAAATTATACATGCAGACAGCGCATTCATGAATAAAAGAACTTGAAAAATATTAATTTCTTTTTGTTTTATGAGTGTTATTACCTGCAAGTATATATGCACACCACATGTGTGCAATGCCCACAGAAGAGGGAGCTGGATACCTAGAACTGGTTACAGATGTGTAAGCCACAATGTGGGTGTTGGGAACCAAATTGGGTCCTCTACATGAGCAGCCAGCACTCTTTAACTACTGAGCCATCTCCCCACCACAGTCAACAATTTTAAATTAAATATTTCAAAAACATTTACAAGAGCTTTGAAATATATATTTTATATACCATAATATTCACAATTATAAAGAATATAAATCAGTACAGAATATCAATTGTAAATTTTTCTTTTAAATCCCTGTAATTCTCTCTCTCTTTCTCTCTCTCTCTCTCTCTCTCTCTCTCTCTCTCTCTCTCTCTCTCTCTCTCTCTGTCTCTCTCTCTCTCTCTCTCCCTCTCTGTTTTTTTTTCAAGACAGGGTTTCTCTGTATAGCTTTGGAGCCTGTCCTAGAACCCACTCTGTAGACCAGTCTGGTCTCGAAATCACAAAGATCACCCTGCCTTGGTCTCCTGAGTGCTGGGATTAAAGGCGTGTGCCACAAATCCCTATACTTTCTTTATCTTACATTACCAATCTAGCTAAACTGGCAGCATTATATTGAGAAAGGGTGGAGAAAGTGGATACCCCTGCCTCCCTCATGATCATTGTGGAAATGCTTGAGTTAACTCTATTAGTACAATGCTAAGGACAGGTCTACGATGCTGAAATGTGCTCCTTCATATGGCTCTCAGGGAGAGATGCAACATTTTCTCAAAAGCCTTTCCACATCCATGGCTATGACTCTATGTGCTTTCTATCTTTACATACATTCACATCGCACATTATGTTCATTAGTTTTCTTTTTTGTTGGTTTTTCAAGACAGGGTTTCTCTGGGTAACACCCAGGGCTATCCTGGAACTCACTGGAAGACCAGGCTCGCCTTGAACTCACAGAGATCTGCCTGCCCCTGCCTCCCCAGTGTTGGGATTAAAGAGATGAGACACCACTACACAGCTTATATTTACTGATTTGCATATGCTGAATCTTCCCTGCAGCTCTGAAATGCATCAAACATGATCCTACTAACATTATTATTATTTTAGACAAGGTCTTAATATTTTGCCCTAATTGGTCTAGAACTGTCTATCTAGACCGGGCTGGCCCCTAACCCAAAGAGATTCACCTGCCACTAGCCTGTCTCAACAAAAGGGGTGGGTGGGTAAAGCATTACTTTTCAATTAGAATTTCCTTTTGAGTTTTCCCTAGTACATTCCCCTAACATGGCAGACTATATGGGTGTCAATCACCATCTTCTGTGTCCTATGCTCTGAGTCAGTCTCCTGAGCTCAAGCTGGTCTTTAGCTTGGTTCCCACCCCCTACCTCCTAAATGGATGATAGGCATTGTTACTAGTGTTGAGATTTTCTGAACAGGGTTGTTTTGGTTTTGTTTTGTTTTAATGTTTTGAGACAAGGTCATACCACATAGCCTTGCTTGACCTGGAATTCATAATGTAGGCCAGGCTAGCCTCAAACTCACAAAATCCATTTGCCTTTGCCTTTTTAGTTGTGGGACTAAAGGCATGTGCCAGCATGCCCAGCAGGGAAATTTATAGAGCATTTACGTATTGTGTTTGTTCACGTACTGAGGAGCCTGTGGCAGTCAGAGAACAACTTATGGGATGTCCTTCTACCAGCTGGATTCTGGGAAATAAAATCAATCCTCAGGCTTGGTCGCCAAGTATTTTTACTTGCTGAACCCTTTGTTAGCCCTTAATTTATAGCCTTTTTTTTTTTTTTTTAACATGCATGGGTAATTTTGCAGGCATGTTTACCATTTACATGCATTGCCAACAAAGACCAAAAGAGGGTGCAGGGATTCCTTTCTCAGAAAGGACCATTCTCCATCAGGCATGCTGGTTGATACACATAATCACAGCATTCTAGGAACCTAAGGCATGAGAATGGACTTATGTGTATGAACAGCTAGGCCTACATATCAAGTTCTAGGACTTCAAGGACTACGTAGTAAACCTCTGTCTCTAAAGAACAAACCAACAAACAAAAAAACCAGCCAGGCTCAGTGATGAACCCCTATAATTCCAACACTTGGGAGGCAGAGACCGGTGGATCTCTCAATTTGAGGCCAGTCTGGTCTACAGAGATAGTTCCAGAACAGCCAGCACTACACAGAGAGACACTGTCTCCAAAAGCCAAAGTGAATAATTATAATTGTATTAATTATAATCATTAAACTAATAACTAACAAAATAGTAATAATAATGAAAAACAGAAACACTACCACTTTTACTTGAGAAAAACAGCACAAACTAAGCAAGAGAATCAAAGACAAATGACACCATGACAACGACATGAAAATTTAAAATGAAAATCGCTCTGTCCGCCCCATCTCCATATCTGAGAGTGAGAAGTTAAAAAAACATGACAGAACTTCTCAGCAATTCAGAGTCATGGTGCTCACCTGGAAAGAATCCATGCAGACAGGACTAGAAGCCAGCTCCTCATCTACTGCATTTAACTTCTCCATGAAAGCACTATCCCTGCTCTGCTTTGGCTTTGGAGGAGGTGGGGGCCCCATGGGCACTACTTCAGCACTGATGTGCCTAACAGCAGGTGTGGTGACTTTCTCAACCTGGTTAAAAAGAACACTGTGTTAGGAAGAAAGCAAGACAGGGAAGGTCGGTCTTTGCATGCAGTCAATGTGGCCATTTTCCTCTTTTCTAGATGGAGACAGGTGAATGGCCATTTCAACACACGGATCTAACTAGGTCTCATCCTACTTGAGCGAGAGAAACAGACAACTACTTTGCTTTCAAGACAGTACTTAAAACACGGGTTGCACACATCTGACCCTTAACGAGAACTCAGAAAACCTCCTTGACCATGACTAGGTCTCAGTCGTCTCTTAGCTGTTCATTCTCTCAAGGGACTTTGAAAAGGTGACAACCCACCATTACCACTGGTAAATCCGCCACTTATAAAAGAAGCCACTGCTCACATATATGTCTAAAGTCTCCCTTGTCTGGTGCTAGGGTTACCTCTGACAGCATGCCACTCTCCTCATCTGTCTCAGCCACTTCAGAAGACGCTCGCAGTCTGGATCTCTTCACTCCACGTGGAGACGAAGCAGTGCTTTCAACATCACTTTCCAATAAGCTCTAAAACAAACCCAGTGCACTCTCACGTGTGTGCCCCAACCTCAGTCCGGAGCACGAAATGTCACAACAGAATAAATCACAAAATACCAGTCATCTGGAATTCGGGTTGCCAGGATGGCACAGCAATTGACTAGGAGTATGAGACCAAGCCTGACGACCTGACCTCGACTCCCAAGATCTACATGGTGGAAGGTAAGAATCAACTCCTACCAGAATATCCTCTGATCTCCACAAGCAAACTGTGGCATGCACACACAAACAACACAGCCCACACTCAGATGTATGTGTACATATATACACACATCAATATATAATACATAAAATAATTGTGTCATAGAAAGAATACATGTACTATATACAAAAATACTATATACATTTTAGAAAGAAAATGAATTTTCAATGACTTAATATCCTAAAGAGGGAAAGACGGCAGGGATCAGATCGACAGCCTCATCTTCATTATAAACTGTCAAAGGGATTAACAGAAAAAACAGAAGGAGAAAAAGAAGACCCCTTCTGAAGTGTTAATATCCAAGCATGAAGGCAAACAGCTTCATCCCCAGAACTCAGGAGGTAGAGGCAAGAGGATCTCTTTGAGTCTGAGGCTAGCCTGATCTACCTAGGGAACTCCAAGCCAGCCAGGGCCACACACTGATACCTTTTCTCAAAAAATAAAATAAAATAGGAAAATAATGATGAAGCTCAAAAACAAGAAAAATTACACCACAGTACATAGACATGCATTTTTTAGGTGGTAGATCTATAAAGAAAACAGCAAATAACTATCAAGACATCAAGGGGGGAGGGGGGAGGACGGTACACTCCTCTGTTGGTTTCTAATACAGAGTCTAGAACATACTGTGCAGCTGAGGATAAACCTGAACTCCATTCACAAGTGCTGGGAGTATACTTTATCTTTGTGTTATATGTGTTCCATTTCACAATGTAAGCCTAAATATTTAGGGAGTTTGAAGAGCAGAGAAACACCTCCAGCAAAGAAATTATTAGAAAAGAGAACCATGTCTCAATCATCTCTATAGAATGGGTGACAATGGGTCACCAAATAAGCCCATCCTTGTCAAGCCCAATTCTTTTCTTCGGCAACAATGAACACTCACTAACCTCTTCAGCAGTCTCATCTTCCTCTTCTTCATCTGGCTGGTACTCTTCATCTGAGGAGTCATCTTCTTCTAGGTGAATATCCACAAACTGTGGAGGCTGCTTTAATAGACACACAAAACAATGGGGTGGGGGAAGACAGCCTCTAGCTCAGCAGCTAGAGGCACAAGCCCAATGACCAAGTTCAATCCCCAGGACCAGTATGGTAGAAGGAGAGAGCCAATACATGCTATGACAGGTGCTTCCACCACTCAGCACACAAAATAAATAAGTAAATATGAAATAACAAAGAGAAAGAAATGGAACAGGGCTGGAGAATAGAAAGCTCAGAGACAGATGCATGCTAACCAGGCATAAGGCTCTGGATTCTGGCTGCAGCAGAGGACAGATGGGAGGGAAAGAGAGGTGGGGGGAGGGAGGGAGAGGAGAGAGGGAGGAAGACAGGGAAAGGAAGAAGAGGAAGGAGGGAAGAATGGAAGGAGGGAACAGAAGCACAAGTCTCACACACACTCACATGCAGGATGTTCCGTACATTGACTGCTGCCAAATTGTGCTTCTTAGCACCATCCTCTAAGGTACGATCCAGCATGTCATCCAGGTTTAGGTCATGTGCCATCGTCCCTTGTTCTTGACCTTTTCCATCTCGTTTCCTCTTGGTACCTGTGGTGGTTTGAAGGAAAATGACCCACAAATGGAGTGGCAGTATTAGGAGGTGTGGCCTTGCTCAAGAAGGTGTAGTCTCGCTGAAGGAAGTGTGTCATTGTGGAGGTGGGCTTTGAGGTCTCATATATGCTCAAGATACCACACTGTGAACCCTGAGATTACATTATTTCCTGGGAAAACCAGCTTCTATTGGTGGTTTGACTCAGCCCTAGAACGCACCTTTAATCCAAGAACTTTCTCCTTGAATAAACAGGATTAAAATAAATCAACCTTAGGTCGAAAGATGGATCAAGCAACCAGTTCATAGAAAATAACCATGAAAAGTAAGAGGAAGTCAGGAGGGGAGAGAGCTCCATAGCAAGTAGAAGGGATGGACATCTGGTAAGAGGAGTTTTATTTGAGATGGCATAAAAGAAAGCTCTTTTTGGGAAAATGGAGGAAGAAGCAGGTGGTTGCTTTCTCTGCCTCTCTGAGCTAGCAGGTTTTCACTAAAAAATCTGGCTCCCAAGTCTTTATTGGTAAAATAAAACGATAGAGACTTAGTTAAAAACAACACTAAACATCTGAAAATATAAGCCATCCATCAAATGTTTTCCTTTATGAGAGTTGCTATGGGGGCTGAAGAGATGGCTCAGAGGTTAAGAGCACTGACTCTTCCAAAGGTCCTGAGTTCAATTCCCAGCAACCGCATAGTGGCTCATGCCCTCTTCTGGCCTGCAGGCATACATGCAGGCAGAATAATGTATTCATAATAAATAAATCTTAAAAAGAAAGAAAAAGAGAGAGAGAAAGAGAGAGAGAGATACTGCTATGGTCATGGTGACTCTTCATAGCAATAGAAATGCTAACAAAGACAGAAATATCCTTTTTGTTTTAGTTGTTTTACTTTCTTCATTCTCTTGTCTTTCTGCAAATAAACGAAGAAGAAAGTGAACAGAATCTCCAAAACACCTTCTCTAGGAACTCTGCCCCAAACCAACAGTGGAAGGAAACCAACCTGCCTGCTGTCTGACTTGAAAATCACACCATCATGTGGTAATGGTGCTTTATTATGGAGCTGTTAACAGTACTATGATAGGGGTCATAATACCTAACACTCAGCTGGGCATGGTATCAAACACCTACAATGCCAGCACTAGAGGGACAGAGACCACACAAAGAAACCCAGCCTCACACACATACACAAAAGAGAAGAAGGAAGGGAGGAAGGAAGGAAGGAAGGAAGGAAGGAGTTAAAGTTTCAGCAGTTTTTTTGTTGGTTGGTATTTGTTTTGTTTTGTTTCGTTTGATTGCTATGTATGCTAGGAACCCAACTCATATTGTTAGTTGTGAGCCTAGTCTTTAACAGCTGAGCCATCTCTCCAGCCCAAGTCTCAGGAGTTTTAATCTCAGCACTTTGGAGGCAGAGACACACAGAAATCTGACTTGAAGCCAACTTGGACTACACAGTGAGAATATGTCAAACAAAACAAAACAAAAAACAAAGGCTCAGTAAAGGGTCTATTAACATTTAAAGGGGAAAGAAGGCAAATTATCAGAATCAGAAATGAAAGAATAGTCTTCATACAGGTCTCACAGATATTTAAAAGGTATCAAAGACAGACTGAGGTGCAGCCAGGTAATAGAGCTCCTGCCAGACTGCTTGAATGCTTGATGCTCTGGGTTCAATCCTAACACTGGGAAAAGAAAGGACTATTATCAATAATTTTGTGTCAATATAATAAGTAAATGAACTGAAATAGAAAGATATCTTGAGAGACATCAACAGTCAAAGTTCACTCAAGAAAAGTTATATTGACCTGTGGTTATGGCTCAGATGGTAGAGTTTGCCTAGCACTCAGGAAGCCCTGGCATAGTTTGCCAGAACCACATAAAGCAAGGAATGTTGACGCACATCCATAAGCTCAGCACATGAGACAGAAGGAGGGAATCATAAATACTATCCTTAGCTATGAACCACATTCCAGTCCAGCCTGAGTTCCATGACAACCCTTCTCAGAAAACAGAGGAGGTAAAGAGAGAAAACAGAGTATCAAAGGCAGAGCAAGTTGACATACTTGCTAGCCTGCAATGCCTAATGAGATTCTGTCTGTCTTTAATAAAGGGCCCTTCCAGTTCGGTAAGTAAAGGCACTTTCTGCTAAGCCTGACAACCTGAGTAGTTCAATCCCTGTAAGCTACAAGTTGTCCACTGACATCCAGACATGGTGTGTTCACATACATACACATACACCCCACAAATATTTATTTTTCAAACAAGAGGGAAAGAGGGAGCCGGCTGTTAGTGGCACACGCCTTTAATCTCAGCACTCAGGAGGTAGAGGCAGGCAGATCTCTGTGAGCTCGAGGACAGCCCGGTCTCCAAAGTGAGTGCCAGGATAGGCTCCAAAGCTACACAGAGAAACCCTGTCTCGAAAAACCAAAAAAAAAGAAAAGAAAACTCTTATTATCAATCACGAGATGGTAGAAGGCATATGTACATCAGGCTAGCTTCAAAATCAGAGATCTGCCTGACTCTGCCTCCTGGGTGCTCTGTATTTTTTTCTCCAAAGCCAGGTCTTATGTAACCCAGGCTGACCTCAAAGTCACTATATAAACAATGACCTTAAATTCCACCCCCATGTAAGAAGCTTCCAGGCATGGGTCACTATCCCCACACCTTGCCTTTACTTGAGACAGACTATTGTAATTGATATGTTAGCCTCTGAGCGATTGTTTCATAATCAGTTGTGGAGACCCCGCAGTCTGGCTCCACTCTGGAGAGATGGAGAAAAGCCTCCACCTACAGACTGGTTGTTCCTATCCTTAACACTCTCAAGTGTCTTTATTTACCTCCCTAATAAGAACAGCTGTGGGGTTCCAACCACAGTCCTTTGGTGGTATGTTTTATATGTTCTGGGAACACCTATGTATGTGATTTGTCAGAAGGATGACTTTTTGTTACACTATGTAATTCTGGTGAAAAAAATGTAAATTCACGCCAGGCCTTTAGCTAAGGCCTCAGCAAATTCAAAACAGACTAATTGCCCTGGAGACAGAGTGCTGAAGGACAAGTTCCCAGGAGTCTACAAGGTAAGACATAAAATAACTTTGCCAGTTTTTCACTTGCAAAAAAAAGACCCAGCCAGATAACATTAAAGACATAACCCCGTCTCAAAAACTGAATTTCTGTATTTATTTCTATCCTTATTTGTATAAAATTTGATGTTTAACTGTTTATACAGAATACAAAAATAAATGGAACACTCTTTAGGTCACTGCCTCTTGCACTGTATCTGTCTGCCTGCATTGCAGACTATCCATCAATGAAGCTGGCCTCCCATGGTATGTGATATTCTGGTACCCACACCTGTAAAAAAAAATTGTAGAAAGAGAACCTGGGGGCTGGAGAGATGGCTCAGAGGTTAAGAGCACTGACTGCTCTTCCAGAGGTCCTGAGTTCAATTCCTAGCAACCACTTGGTGGCTCACAACCATCTATAATGAGATCTGGTGCCCTCTTCTGGTGTGCAGTTATACATGGAAGCACAATGTAGTATACATAATAAATAAATAAAATAAAATAAAAAAGAGAACCTGATGGGATCTGTGTGATATATATGACACTCGCCTTACGCTGCCCTACAAAATTTCTCTCTGCAGCGGTTCGAGCTGTCTTTGCTAGCCACCCGCCATGGAGGGTAGATGAAAGGCCCGAGCTAACATGGGGTTACCTCTTTAAATTTACATGGAGGCTCAACCGTTCATTCCTAATGTTAGTTCCAAAGGTTCTGACACTCTCCTTAGCCTCCATGGTCACCAGGAATGTACAAAGGACATATATATGCATCCAAAAGAAATACACATTAACATCAATTCTTTTAGTGGGGGAGGGGGAAACAGAAGACAATACAGAGAGTTGGAGAGAAAATCTGGACCCATTCATAAGGTTCACTGTGTTTAATGAGAAGAACAATTCCAGTGCAAGTCCACACCACAAAAATTTCCCGTCAAGAAACACTTCTCTGTAAAAGCACCACAGAGAGCAAAGACAAGCCAGGGGTGGTGGTGGTCCACACCTTTACTCTCAGCACTCGAGAGGCGGGTAAGTTCCAGGACAGCCAGAGCTAGGTAGAGAGAAACTGACTCAAAAAGAGGAAAGGAAAACAACAAAGTGGCACAGGTTACCTACCTGCCCCTTAACTAAAAAGCCTGGGTCCCTTAGGAAGATATACACTCACGATTTCTTGAGATGGGACCCACGCTTAAACAGGCAACTCATTTACTTCTCACAGATTGCCCTTTTGTCATCTGAAGACAGTCTCATACAATGATCGAAGAAAGCCTGCATTCTGACACAGCCCTCCGCCTAAGGTCAGGTGTGGGATTTGTCACTTACAGCATCAAGTTAAGTGTGCAGCATTTTAGAGTGTAGAGCTTCAGATCAGGGATGCTCAACCTAAACAGGCAAGGAAAAAGCAACCGAGACCTTTCCCCCTTACCTCCTTCTGCCATGACTTCTTCACCCGGCTCTCCTGAAGGAGGCTCCTCCATGACAGGATGATCCCCTTGGTCTTCTCTGGTAACCAGCCCAGGCGGGAAGACAATTTTCTTCCCTTTCCTTGAGGCTGTGGCCTGGAGTCTCTCTTTATCCATGTGTACAGTCAGGGAATGAGAAGACTCCAAGGAAGGAAGGGCGATTTCCTGAGCGATGGCTCCATCAACAGCCTCCAAAACAGGTGGGTTTCCATGCTGGGTGAGCATCTTAGGGCGCAGAGACGGATCCTCCACGCTGAGCTGATTTTCTACATCATGACTGGAGTCCACCTCTGGGCACACTGCACTCTCATGGTGCTGATCCCAGGATAGTGACTCTGACGCCAAATCTTTAAGCTGGACAGATTCAGGCTTCACAGATGACTCTAAGTCTAAGTCATCTCCCTCCTGGCTATCCTGCTGGTGCACAGACTCTGTCACTGTAGCTCTTCTCTTCTTACAGGGCAACATTGTACAAGTCCCACTTCTGGTCCATCCTGAAAGGATACAGGGCAAGTCTTGGTCACCTCAGTAGTATTAATAGTAATTAATAACTGGTGGTGGTGGTGGTGGTGGTGGTGGTGGTGGTGGTGGTGGTGGTGGTGGTGGTGGTGGTGGTGGTGGTGGTGGTGGTGGTGGTGGTGGTGGTGGTGGTGGTGGTGGTGGTGGTGGTGGTGGTGGTGGTGGTGGTGGTGGTGGTGGTGGTGGTGGTGGTGGTGGTGGTGTACTCCTTTAATGCCAGCACTCTGGAGGAGGCAGCAGGCAGATCTGTGACTTCAAGGACAGCCTGGTCTACAGAGTTAGTTCCAGGACACGCTTCAACCCTGGGGTGGGATGGGGGAGTAACAATAATAACATTTGATCAGTTTTCATCTCATGATCCCCAAGCTCATTCATCAACATAGAATTTGACACCAAATGCCTAGGATTTTTAGGGGAGGATGAGACACTAGCTCAATTCAAATTCCAAACTGAATTATTATGGTACCTTGACTAGGCTAAGCTTGTTACCTCAGGCTTGCAGAGATGGTACAGGCCTCTCTTCCCTGCCTAGGAAGACAGGCAGGTGGATCTCTATGAGTTCAAAGCATAGCTGGTAAGTTCTAGGCCAGCCTGGAACTGGCCACTAACACTCACATTCAAATGCCCACAGACAGACATGGAATCCAAAAATTCAAAAGTAAATCTTACAATATCACATATCACTTTTGTAATCTCTGGCTCTCCATCCGCAAAGGCTAGGATATGAACTCGGTTGAGAAAAGGGAACCCTTAACTGGTGTCTCCAGCCCCAGCACCATGTGGGTATGTCGGCACTCACTGACTGTTGCCTGAGAGGTGAATGGATGAACGTGGGCTTGAACAATGCTGCGCTGCGTTTGGACCAAGCACTTAGCGTTTACATAGGTACTGGAGGAGTGGCTTCTAACTTGCTTTCTATCTCAGGAAGATTTTGAACTTGTGGCCCTGCTGCCTCCACTTACAGGTGTTTATACAGCATGCCATTCTATGCATTGGGAACCGAAGCCTTATGCATGGAAGGTAAGCACTCTACCATCTGAGTACATCCCCAGCCTCTGGTTGCATCCTTCCCACAAAAACACTTTGACAAGGAGTTCCAAGAACAGAATAATTCACTGCCAACCTTTCAAGTCTGAAAGAGCACTCAACAGTACTAGAGGAAACTTACTAGGGGCAGGCTTTGTTCCCTCCGACTCCAAGTTTCATCTATGAAGATAACCTTAAGCCTCTGCAATGCACCTTCTCTAGGGCATTAAAGGAGGCCCTCACCATAACAACCCAGGTTCTTCTCTTGGTAAAGTTCAATGACCCAGAGAAGATTCGTTGATCCTGTCAGGGAGGGTGGTAAGTGACCAAGAAGGGGAATGGGAATCACCTAGGCGATTCCTTTATTTCACAGATGACTTCGTGAGATTCAGGGAGGGTGGAAGCAGAAAGAGTGCGGGGTAAGGGAGCAGCCAGCAGCTGTTTTGTCAGAACTGCACGGGGATCGCTCCAAAGGCTTCACAAAACAGTGGCTCCAAGAGTCTGCTCCTTAGAGACCAGGAGGTAGATCAGCAAAGTGGATGAACGCCAATCCGCC